AATATACTCCGAGTCGCGAGCTCGAAAAAAGGCACATTAAAGCTCGTTTTACAATGTTTCATCGTCGACCAACTTATCATTTCGGTTTTTTCTTTTTCATTTAAATGCGATTCTTATTTAGGTCGTTTTCTAATTTCGCGTATTAATCGCGAAAAACATATTGCACGTTTGTATCTGTTTGGAAAAAATATATATGTATGTTAAAACTATGTAGGAAAGCTACCTTTATTACTTTTTTCATTTCTTTGCGCAATTCTATTAGCTATTACATATCTCTGACAAAACTATTACAAAAGTTCGCTATGCTGAGTGATTTTGTGAGAACATATGAACGCTCCTTTCACACATATTTTGGTATTATAAAGTAAAAAAGTCGAAGTCGAGAACATAAGAAAGTACGGAAGTTAAGAAATCGAAACGCTATCGATAGTATAAAAAAAAAACAGAACGATTTTAACGATTCGAATCTTTTGAATTCGTAAAGTTAGATAATTATCCATTTAATGGAATATAAATTTTTCTCATAATGCTCTTGCGCTCTTATTTCTCTAAAATTTGTTAAACAAATTGCGCGAATTGCGGTAACGTAAAAAATACGTTTAAAAACACCATTCATCTTTTTTTTCGGGCAGACCTACAATTTTAAATGCTCCATAAATGCGCTATGTCTGCCACCCTCTCCCTCTTTCTTGATACATTCTCTACATATTCATCTCTTACTGATCACTCACACGATCAACATTTCTCTCGACTTCCACCATACAAGCACAGCATGAAGGATAACAACAAAGCAGTAGTACATAAAAAACTTATTTTTTTACGTTTGTTTATTCAATATGTATTTTCTTATAAAGTGATGTCCTACTAATTAAAAGTAAATGAAAAAAATTCACCAAACAATAGTTAATATATTCATTAAAATTCTTCATCTCATTAAGGCAACTAATTTGTTTAGTTTTCATTTTACATATCTAGAGTAAATGATATATAAAGTATATGTAAAACACTAATATATGGTTATTTTTATTTTCTTGTTACAAGCCTTACATATTTAGAATATAATATGTATACTTTGTATATATACTCTTGTAATAAAATTGATTACTTCGTATTCGATTCTAGAGATAATAAATATATCTAATGTGTAATGTTAGTACAAGAGAAGTGCGTGCAGAGGGTGGCAGCAGGGTGCGCATTTGGGAGTGCTATTGTTCCAGGGACCGACCAGTCCCCACTTTCTATATCGTCTCACATAGTGACATTTAACTGTATTGCTTTAGTGTCCACAGAGCACGCTTGTTGTTGTTGTTGTTGTTGCTGTTGTTGTTGTACCTGCTGTTGTACCTGTTGTTGAACTTGTTGTTGCACTTGTTGTATCGCTTGAAGCTGTATCGTTTTTGTATCTACAGTGCACGTGGTTTGTTGTTGTTGTTGTTGAGGTTGTTGTTGCACCTGTTGCTGTTGCACTTGTTGCTGTTGCACTTGTTGTTGTACCTGTTGTTGCACTTGTTGCTGTTGCACCTGTTGTTGTTGTTGGGCCTGCTGCTGCTGTTGCTGCTGCTGCTGCTGTTGCTGTTGTTGTGCCTGTTGAGCAGCAGCTTGTGCAGCTTGCCTCTGTTGTTGTCGAAGTATACTCGGCGGTGGATCCATGTGCTGGCGTTGGTGCAGTAACAAGTGATTCTTCTGATAGAAAGCTTTGCCACACTTGTCACACACGTGCGATCTTATATGGCAGCTTCCATCGGTGTGGCGCCGTTGGTGTTGGGACAATCCATGTTTTTGCGCGAAACCACGACCACAATCGGGACAAATATGTGGTTTTGGTTTCGGACCTGTTCCTACAGGTGGTGATGTTTGCGTCGCACCATGCATATGGCTGACACCGGGGTTTCCAATGGGTCCATTCATCTATAAATTGGTCACTTATGACATACACATTTCACATTTTATGTTAATATCGATAATACCTGATGAGTTCCGGGGGTATTGGGTGTGAGGAAGTGTCCAGGAGTTTGTTGGAAGGCAGCTGCTAGTCCACAGAGATCCGTAACAAGTGTACGATCACCAGAATGTAACCTTAAGTGCAAAGTAAGAGCTTCCCGATTCGAAAAGTCCAACCCACATTCCCTGGAACAATGGATATAACATAAACATACGATTTATGTATGAAAACTATGGAAGAAAAATACATGTGTGTATTTGAGTCACTGCCTACCTGCACATAAGAGATTTTTCATCTGTGTTCGTGTTATTGTTATGGATTTTAGAGTGGGTAACCAGGTCTGTTTTCCTAGGAAATGCTTCTCCACAAACTGTACAAGCAAATGGAGTTTCTCCTGTATGTAAACGCATATGTGCCAATAGTGTTCTCTTTTGTAGAAATTCTTTTCCACAAACAGTACACGAATGCGGAACTCTACCATGCAGACGGCCATGATTCACTAACTCAAACTTTCTCTGGAAGGTTGCTCCACAATCGTGACAAACAAATGGATGTAAACTTCCATGGAAGCGCGAATGCATTGTAAGGTGATCCTTTTGAGAAAACGATTCTCCACATTCTTCGCAAACAAAAGGTCTCTCTCCTGAATGGAATTTACTATGCGTTACTAAATGACGCTTTAGAGGAAATGCTCTTCCACACTCTTGACAAATAAACGGTCGTTCTCTTGTGTGTACACGTGTGTGCGTTACAAGGTGGTGTTTTAATGTAAAAGACTTTTTACATTCACGGCATTGGTATGGTCTATCCGCACTATGGAGTAGCAGGTGAGTATGAAGACAATGTTTGTGTGCAAAACTTTTGCCACAGTGAACGCAAACATGAGGTCTTTCTCCTGTATGCACTCTTGCATGTGTTGTAAGGTGATGTTTGAGGAGAAATGACTTCCCACATTCTGAACAAGAATATGGTCTTTCTTTTGGTACACGGACTTGACTTCCCATATCTTGCTGTTGTTTGACCTTTGTTTCAATTTGTGTGGTATTAACATGTGTTAAAACATGGCCAAAGTGAGCAGTGCTATCTGTTTGGCTTGTGGCCACATTGTTTACATTGGCCTGATTTGAAGCAGCTGCTGCTCTTTTCATTAAAATTTCATTGCACTCTTCTGCCGTGAGTTGTAGTGGTCCAAGGGGTGTCATGAAATGCTTACTCATGGCGTGTTTATCGGCTGTAGTAAAAACTAAAGTGTTTGAAAAAAGTGAGGGTGGGGGTGTTGGATGTGCGGCATCACAATTGCAACCTCCCTTGTCACATGTTAATGAAAATACATCATGATGCTTCTTAGTACGAACATGCGTGGCATGTGTTTGATTATGAGCTCCAGCTGTATGATGGGTTGTTGGGGTCTGTTGACAAGTTTCATTCATAGTGAACATCGGTCTACGATGTGTACTATTGGCAACTTTTGTGGGTTTAATGTCAACTTGAATCTTCTGACTGGATCCTTGGTCCTGATTATTATTCACAGCGTAACTAATATTTGTTGTGAGTTCACCCTGTGCATTTTCTCGGGTTTCTGCTCCAGGTCCTCCAAAGGACCAGGCATACCCAAATCCTGTGCCCACGTTGCCAGGAGTGGTGCACATGTTTGACAGGGGGGTAACGGAGGGGGTGGGCTGGCTGGACGCGCTGCTCGTGGGCCCCTCCGTCTCTGTCAACGCATTGTCTGCACCACTTCTTTCCACTACAACAAATTGGTCGGCAGGAAATATTTTGAATGGTTTTAAGTAAACGTACCCGTCACACTCCAGTATCTTGGCTATGAGTTTCAAAATTGGGAATCATATCTGCCTGAATAGACTCTAAGATACAAATTGTATTTGAGCTCACAATACTGTTCAAAAGCTGTGGGTAATCAGGATACATAAAACAATAATTGCAAGGTGGTTAACACCATGCACTTCTTATCATCTGACATAAAATGTAGCAAATGCACAATGTGTTCCCAAGTGTTGTTTTGTCAGGCTTAGGAACACACAGTGTTCAGGAGGTGAGGCGAGAGTGCCTGAAGAATTGGAGCAGGCGGCAGAGGGGGCCTGTGCGCTGTAAACCAGGTTCCGTAAATCTAGAGCCGTTCTCGTATAGTTGCCACCGCGCCACCGCGCGCCAATGAAAAAATGCAGTGGTCGGTTGACTTTTCTATGTATTAGAGTTCGTAAGTGATTCTTCGTTTCGGTCTTCGGGCCCGCGGCGTCCACGGGTCTTGAAAGACAACCTCCACCTTCTTCTCACGGCACTCCCACACGCTCACTTACACTTCACCTTCTTTTCTCGTATTTCGCGGCACTGAACTTATACTTTGACGTACATACACAAGCAGCCGATGGTCATTAATTTTACAGAATTGCATATTTTATTGTCCATACAAAATAGCCTCATATATCGGCCATTTTATTTGTAAACTACCAAAAAACAATGCTGCCAATGCACGCGCGGTTTTGGAGGGAGCAAAGCTGGCAATAGCGTCATCGAGTACTTCCGTACTGGCAACACTGTACCGCCGACGCGATTTCTTCCACCATATTTAAATGTTCACAGGTTACAAAATTATTACTCTTCTTTAAAAAAACACTTTCTTATTATTCATTCATTCTTCCCCTCAAAATGTGGTTGTACCTTTTCAAATTTTCAGTAACGACCTTGCATTATGATATGTTGACCATAAGTACCATGAATAGAGGAAAAAGTAAAAGTTCGATTATAATATGCGGTAACCTATAATTACAGGTTCCGTAGTAATCAATTACGCCAGGATATGAGGCGGTAGGACGACGTAGGGTGATTACGTAGGGTGTCAACAATACTAATTACCATACAAGTACTTTCCGTGTATTATTATACGTTAAAAGTATATCATTATTAACAGTGAACTACTTTCTATGATCATAAATGTTAAACTTTACACATTTTACAAAAAATTAATATATATATATATATTGTATCCCTTCGGTGTTTATCGAATAAAACAGGCATGCGTGGACAAATAGAAGGGGAATTTTTGCGCGGCAGTTTTTCGCTACGCGCGCAAATAGTTTGATAATCGATGGAGGGTCAATATCACGGACGTACGTCCCCGTGGACGCGATCGCTTTCGTCATTTATAGCCGATATCTGGCAAGTTATGAGACGTGGGGGCATCTAGGTGGCACGGGAACAGAAACACCGCCGCCGCCACTCGGTTGGTCATCGTCGACGCAATAACGCGGACTCAGCAACTGATAAGCAATCCCGCACGTTAATGGCTCGCGCTCACGACTTGGCAAAAAGCCAGTGCGTGCTGGCGGAATGAGAATCTTACAGTTACGTCCATTCATTTTCGTCTTCTCTCTTTCTTTCTTTCTTTCTCTTCCCCTTCCCTCTTCACTCTCCCTCTCATTCTCTCTCTCTTTCTGTGAAGTGACCGTAACACCGTTGGATTAAGTGCTATCTTTACAAACTTTTACTCATCTTCACGCCCCCGTGCCGACCAGATCTTCAGCGTTTATTCGGTTCCACGCTCATTTCTTTCTAATTAATGACGATTACGTTACTCTGTTCGGCTGAAATAGCTCTCTAAGTATCTCTTTACAGTAATAGATATACTGTTCTTTTAATGTATCGTTTCATGTGCAGGCTCCTTTATTTCACATTTATTTATGTGAACGATGCGAACAAATTTCTTTAAGTTGAATCAAGAGAATTTTTTATGAACTCAGTGTTTGTTTTTTTTTAGATGGAAATATATATTTACGCGGCGAACGTTTCACATGAATTTTACATGACATTGGAAAGAAATAATGCAAGAACAATCCTGGAAATTTCCCTCCGTACACATAGAATTGAAATATACGTGTTGTTTACCATACACGTAACCATTTAAAATAGTTTGACGTAAATCTCACAGATTCCGTATGATTTCTGTTAGCCCAGACGTTTCATCGTTTTGTCTCAGTAGCTATGCCTGTTGCAGCAGCCTTGTCTTCGAAAAAGTAGTGAGAATTTTTACAGACGATTTTCACGGATTATTTCAGCCTGACAAGATGATTAAAAAGACCTGCGCGTTCGTTTTAGCATGGCGTGACCCCTTTTTGGCACAGTAAATCCCACAGCTTCTTACACGACCCTTTCAGAAAAAAGTTTGCCCACCCCTTGGTTAACTGGTAAGCGCCTCGAGCTGTCTGCACGCGCACCTGCTGTGTATATCGCCCGGTCGTTTCTTACCACGCGACCACGACTTATGCCCTCCACTGATAGATAACTTTGCGCGGCAGAGTTCCGCGTTTGTCGTCGAATCTATTAAAATAACCTTGCACTTTGACAGAACGATATCAACCATGCTATTGTAGAAACATTTCTTTCTTCTTCACATACGTAACCATATTTCGCAAATGTTGAAAGGGAATGCACAATTGTGCCTACTCATCCAGTTCGTTCTCTATTAAAGACACCACCTGTTTTTGTTCACTGTACGCGTCCGCTGATTAGCATGCAGTCACACTCGTGACTCGGTCCTGGAATACGTTGAACGCGTGATGCGACTGCGGCTACGTTCACGATTCGATCTCAAGATGGATGTCTCCCGGGGAACGAGCGTAAGGACTCATGATTAGCTAGTGGAATTTTTTCAAACAGTTCTGTTACTCACGAGAAAATAAGCACATTCTCATGAAAAGAGATCATATACACTATTGCTTACGTATCACTTGATATTAGTTACCGTTTCGGTATTATGCTGACAAAGGCAGAATGAAGAGATTTCTAACCTGCGTAAGTCTAACCTTAGATTAGCAATTTTTTTCATACTACGATCAATGCTCATGATCGTATTCTCTCTCTATGATAAATTTTTCCGATAAATTTCGATGAAGCAGAAGCCACAGGGACCTTTCGAAACCGTAATTTGTAAGACGAATGCGTTGTTCACGTAACCATCTGTTAAGTATGTTTCGCAATGCGATACGTTTCGAATTCGACGATCGAGGGTTACGGATCGCCAACGACGGGTAGCTTCCACCATCTCCCTCTCCTTTCCTACCTTTCTCATTCTCTCCCTCTCTCTCTCTCCTTTTTTACGAGTAGGAGACAGCGTAGAAGCAGGGTGGAGACCCGAATCCTGAGGCAGTGGACCGTGAATGCGATACCAGGTTTGCCATGCCTCGGTGTGGGGGTGGTGCCGTCAAACAACCGTTCGACGACCATCCCTTCGTTGTAGGGCCCCATCCTGTGCAGGTCAGTTGTAATTTCTGCGTATCAATTATACCTTACAGCAATTTGTACTCTTTTCAACAACGGTCCTTTCTGATTGTACTTTAAAATATTTGTTGATAATAATTTGTCGATGTTAATTATTTGAAGTTACTGTACCTAATAATTTACGTAATAAAATAAAAATTCTTTAAGTGTAATTTTTATTAACCCTGATATCGATGTACGAATAAAAATGTATAGGTTATACAAAGGTATTCGATAGCTAGGCTAAATCCAAAGGCACATCGTAGTCTGTTCAAAATCAATTGGTCACTCAAGGTCACTTCTCCAGCTGTGAACGACGTCAAAGTGAGCGGACATCGCAAGTACGTTCAAGACAGAGAACGCTTTGCGCTTTCTGCTTTCGAAACAAAGGAGGAAACGTGCAGCGAAAAGATAAGGGATAGAGTGACAGTGTAAATAAACGACACGTTGGGATTTACTTTTCAATCTGTTAATTGAAACTCCGTTTCAAAAAAATTACAAAAGTTCGTTTGCTCCTTTTCTTTCTCTTCCTTGGAATCTGCGTTTACGATAGGATACCTCGAGATACACAAGACTACTGTATAAAGCTCCTATGATAAACATGTTGCACAAATCTCTTAATATTTATTCGTAACATAATCTATACGATCGTGTGTTAATCATCTGTAAACAGAATGCATGACACTGTTGACGCATGATCGCTTTTGAAGCACGTGTCGCTTCTGTCATTGTTTAGAAAAGTCGAGGCGTCACTGCACACAAAGGGAAAAGTAGATTAGGTTAGGATCTTACTGACGTCGTAAAGTTAACAAAAAAACACACCTGACACAAGACTTATCCGTGTACATAAGATTACAGTGCGTCAAGTTATATGTCAGTTCCCATTTGAAGACACGAACCTGCCTGTTGAACCGGTAGAGCAGGGTAATCACGGTCTCGTGGTTGCAGACTATCGGCGGCGTTCTTTTTCTTCCTCTGGCTTAATTAAAAGATGATTACCTAATGAGGGTCATTGATACTCTCGGCCACTAACGAGCTCCCCTGTCGTCGGGAACATCTACATAGCGAGCTATAATTTCGAGATTTCTATCTGACCATCGAGCGTCATTTGAGGCACATAGGGTCCCTTAAAAACGAACGCATCGGTATGCGTGTCCGTGGGCCTTGAGCCTCCTAGCAATTAGTTAGCCAGCATTCTTGACCTAATTCAGCTAATTTTGAAAATCAGTCAAAAGCGAATTTTAATTTTATCTGTTGAATTTTCTACTTCTCTTTTTGCATGGGTAAGGGATCGTTAATAAGGTACATCGATTTTGAAACGATAGGGTAAGACTTGAAGAAGTGAGGCATTAAAAAAAGAGTGATGCCTGACGAAAGGGCGAAATGTTTTCTCGTCTATATATCGCGATCGGTCGTTTCCACGCGATAGATCACCAGTCACGTGCCGTTGCGCGCCGGCTCATCGATCACGATTAGTCGTACGACCTGCCAGAAGTTCATCGATTTTCGAGCCACCCTGAAATCAACTCGTGTAACGACAATTCATGCGAGAACGGTGCATTCTGTCCACTAATGTCTTGCACAAGCTAATAGAAACCGAACATGATCGAAATTTAATATACGAACGATTCGACGAAAACATAACCTCTTCATTCTATATTACCATATTATATGAGATGAATATATCAGTTGAACGAAGTTATTATCGTCTTATTGGAGCCAAGCATTCGAAGAGAGGAACGTGAAACGTTTATTGGAGTCTGCAAACGGATACAATCTTTTGATTCCCAATCCGTGTCTTCGATCGTAGATGCATCGCATATTTGAACCCCCAAAAGACCGATGCAGTGACGTTCTCTACGATACTGTGCTGAATATATGTATATACAGTGCCGAACTCGCGAGCAGAACTCTTTGTTCCCCTTCGTATAAAATTCTGAGCGGTCCCAGAGGTACTTTGCCGATCAGTTCGCCGCTCACTTTCGAATCTATTCGCCAGGGACGTTTCGCGTTATGTTTTCCATCCTCGGGAGCGGAAGCGTCGGCCTCCTTTGATCTGACGACCGGCAGCGTTAGCTTTTAAGCTTGTAAAAGTGACGAGCAGATGGTTATGATAACAATAATTCGATCCTCGTCGCAGCGGGCCCTTTGCATTCGCGT